CGTAATGATTTTTTTTAAGTGAAAGTAAATTTATTCAGGGAGATACATACTCCATCCGCAGAATGCAGGTGGTCTCTGAAGGCAAAACAAGTGGCCTTAGGGTATACACAGTCCATAGTCAGAATGTGGACCATCTAAGAAGGCAAGAGAGGTGGCCTACATAATGATTTTTTTAAATAAATGTTTAGAGAAAAACATTGATGGGGTACTTCTTTCCCATCAACTTATCCTTCCTGGCAAATTTCTGTTCCCTGGACTAGATCTTTGGAAAATCAAGGAAGAGCATATTTCTGTTGAAATACCAGTGATACTCAGTATAGTGCTGAGACCTGAAGTAGGAAAATGAACTACTGCAAATTTTGCCCTAAGGACATTTCACTGCTTTGTAAATACATGGAGGTGGCCATTATAGCTTCTACTCAATGTTACACTTGATTATTTAATTTCTAAATAAAACAATTTTCTTGGTAGAAATGGCATGTAGGTCATCTGTCAGAATAAATGCTAACTTAGCCCAAAATACTCTGAACAGTATTGGTTTAGGGGACTAGGGTAAGTCTGTTAGGCATTACATTATTAAATTATTGGGCACTTGTTGGATTCAGGAATGTTTTTATATGTTAAGGGTATACCTAGTGTTCTTTCTCCAGTTACCAACACTTTCACTGACTCTCTGAGGAACCAGTTAACTTATGGTGGCAACAAGAGTCGATTTTGAGACATTCAACTTGAAGGTAGACTGCTTCTTTGTCAATCAGCCTTTGAACTGAGGTGGCAGGGGAAAGAAGAACAAGGTAGTAGCACCAAGCAGTTGCCACACATAACTGTTGGCCAGAGTATCTTATGTTGCCCTGGGGTGAAGTGGAATCTGATCCTGGGAAATTTCCCTGTCCTCTTGTTTGCCTCTCTGAAAACAGTTTAGGTTATTTATAAGTTAAGTCCTTGTTTTGTTAAAACATGTTCTACTTATGCTTTGTTTTTTATTTTTATTTAATTAATTAATTTATTTTTAAATGGAGGTATTGGGAATTGAACCCATTGAATTGTGCATGCTAAGTATGTATTCTACCACTGAGCTATACCCCCCACTCCCCAAAACTTGTTCTAAATAACAGTGTAGTTCTAATCTTGTGGCAACATCATAATCAGTTCTAGGGATTGCAAAAAGTGAGTATTCTTTTTTTGCTTTTATTTTTATTTTGTTTTTTTCATTTTTTTAAATTTGAGTATAGTGAGTTTACAGTGTTGTGGTATTGCTGGTATACAGCATAATGATTCAGTTATACATATTATATGTATTCTTTTTTATTATAGGCTATTATAAGGTATTGAATATAGTTCCCTGA